GCAGCCTTGTAACACCAAGGTCATGAGTTCAGATCCCTGTACTGAATTTAAAAAAATAATAAATGGGTAGATAATTTTAACCTTTGAAAGGCATTTCTCCATAGAAGATACACAAATGGCCAATAAGCACGTGAAAAGATGCTCAACATAGTCATTAAAGAAAGACAACTCAAGACCACTGTGAGATACTACTTGACAGCCACTAGAATTGCTATAATAATAATAATTTAAAAAACAGAAATAACTGTTGACAAGAATGTGAAGAAAATGGAACCCTCATACATTGCTAGTGTAATATAAAATGTAAAATACTGTAGCCACTTTGGAAAACTGTTTGGCAGTTCCTCAAAAGGTAAAACAGAATTACCATACAACCCAGCAATTTCACTCCTAAGAACGTAACCAAGAGAATTAAAAACCTATGTTTCTCCAAGAGTTCAGATCCCCTTATCTGCCAGCTGCAAAACAAAAACAAACAAATAAAAAGAAAAAAAAAACCCAAAACAAAACAGGGCAATGAAGGTGAGGAAAAAAAGAAGGAAATGAATTCAAGAGACTCAGTGGAGGGGGCATTGGCAGGACGTGGTAATTGATGAGATGTAAGGGATCAGAAGAGATCAGAGATTGCTGAGTAACTAGGACAGTGGGGATGTGTGAGCAGAAATGGGGAATCAAGGGAAAGGAGGCCAGGCCAGCTTGTGGCTCACTTGGGAGAGTGTGGCGCTGATAACACCAGGTCACGTGTTTGGATCCCTATATAGGGATGGCCGGTTAGCTCACTTGGGAGAGCGTGGTGCTGACAACACCAAGTCAAGGGTTATGATCCCCTTACTAGTTATTATGGAAATACAAATTAGAACCACAGTGAGATGCCACTACACCCCACTATAATGGCTAAAATTAAAAAGATTGACAACATCAAATGTTGACAAGGATATTGAGCAACTGGAACTTTCACATATTGATGATGAAGTGTGAAATGGTACAATCACTTTGGAGAAGTTTGGCAGTTGTGATCATTTTAAAATAAAGTTTATCATAGTCTGAAAAAGAAAAAACATATGTTCTCACAAAAACTTGTACAAAAAATGTTCATAGCAGCACTATTTATCTTTTTTTTTTTTTTTAAAAGATGACCGGTAAGGGGGCCGGCCTGTGGCTC